GTCTTCATCTCTGCCTCCATCTCTGGCATCACTGTTTCTCTTGGTAGGGTCCCACACTCCACTCTTCTCCCTTGATGGTCCCAGGGACCTCTGCTTCTAGACTGCAAAGTCAATCACTCTCATCCTTATACTACGAAATGTCTACCTTTACATTTCCAACCCTCACAGTCAGTCCTGATAATAATTACTCACTATTGTACCACAAGAGACCTATCCCCATCTCCTTTCATCAGCCCTGCCCAGACGGATTGGATACTATTCAGTGGAGATTCTACCTTCCTCTGTGCCCTCTGGATCTAGGCTCCCTCTTGAAAGCTTGTAAGCCAGTCACTTCTAGCCTTTGAGCCCCCCACCCCCCATTTTGGGTAGCCAATGTCCAAGTTGCCCATCCATGTCTACTCTATGTATGGAGGGGGTGGGAATGATCCTCGCTGTAAAGATTTGTTCCCTCTTTTGAGCTACTGCCTTGATAGGTGTAGGTCAAGTTCATCAAATTGTACCAGATTATTCTTTTTATCCTCTCCTTTCTTCTAGTTGAGCTCTGATCATCCAGTCATTGAAGCCAGGTCAAGTGGGTATTATCTGCAAGTGTGGGTGTTTGTTGATGTATTCTTAGGCACTTACAACTGCATAATCAGAGATGAGCTTGTGTGCTGTTCTCTGTTCACTGTTTGTGCAGTTCAGTTCAGAGTGAATTTAGCTGACATTGGTTGTTGTGGATCTGGTGTACAGCAGCTGGTACTGACTCTCACCCAACTGATTGGGTTGTAGAGAATATGGTTGTGGCTGGGCTGTATGGCTGCAGTTGCTGTCTCTTATCGGTAAAGTGAGAAGTAAAAACAAACTCACAAGAGAGAAGAAAAGTGAACATACCAACCATTAAAAAGATAAAATAACAATGAAGAAAGAAGGAGAAAAAAACTTGGCTCTGGTATTTTCTCTGTCAATAAGCAGTATGTCTCCGTGCTACCTACTGGTCTCTTTTCTTCACAGTCTCCTGAGAAAGTTCAAGATGGTCCTGCTGTACCTGGCTGGCCTGCAAAGACTATTCTTTGCTGTTTCCTCTCTTCTGGACCCACACATCCATTCAGCAGCTTCGCTGAGGGAGAGCTAGTCCAGGGCTAGCCAACGCTGACTTTGTAGATTCAGAGCAGGGCCCTTCCAAGCGGGGTTACTGGAGATAGCTCCTCCCACCTAAATGGCACCCAGAACCTCAGTGTGTACCTCCAAGTGACTTTGACAGCTTGGAAAGACCTAGGGTGTATGTCTAGTCACCTGGGAAGTGTGGGGACCCCCCCCAAAAAAAGTCACACCTTTGACTCTTCTGAACCATGGATATGTTTTCTTATCTCTGAAGCCACTCACAAACACTCAAGATGGTGGTGGCAGGTCTGGTTGGCCACCACACCCCCTCTCTTGCAGTGTTTGGTCTACTCTCTCTCCCAGTAAACACTCAATCCACTTCTGCCTCCCTTCATGTGAAGCTCAGAAGCTCCATCAATCTTGTTCTGTTTTCCATACCCTTGCTGCAGAAGGTCCACAGAGCCTTCCTGCTAGTCCACCATCTGACCTCACTCTCTCTGCCTCATTTATTTCCACTCTAATGCTGATTCTTAATTTTCCACGGGTGGCAGTAGACTTACTATGCTACTCTTTTTCAAATTATTGGAGATGTTGGGTTAAGGTACTGATTTTTGGTCTTCATTTGGATGTGTGGATGTATTGCTATAAATTACCCTCTGAGCACTACTTTTGCTGCGTCCCAAAGGTTTTGGTATGTTATGTTTTTCATTCTTATTTGATTCAAGGAACTTGTAATTTAAGTTTTTACCCTATTACCCAGTAACTTTTAAGCAGGGTGCTATTCAAATCCATATATTTGAAGATTTCCTTGATCTTGCTATTGTTAATTTCTAATTTTGCAGTGTTGTAATCTGAGAAGATGCTTACTAGTATTTTGATTTTTTAAAATTTACTGAGACTTGCTTTGTGGCTTAACATATGATCTATCCAGGAGACTGTTCTGTGTGAATAGGGAAAAAACCTGTATTGTGTTGTTGTTGGATTGAGTGCTCTGTATAAACCCATTAGGTCAAGTTGATTGTGTCGTTTAGTTCTTCTGTGTCTTTGTTGAGTTTCTTTCTACTTTCTCTGTCCTTCATCAAAAGTGGTGTAATTAAATCTCCTACGGTGTGGTGCTGTGTGTTAATGCACCAGACTGCAAAGCCATTTGAACTGCAAGGT